CGTAACCCTGGGCACCGTTAGGGACGCGGTGCGGGACACGGGGAGGGGATGGCGGTTGGAACTGGGGTCGCGGCGGTCTTTTCCACCGCTTGCGATGTCCCCGAAACCTCCGTGAGCGGCACCGCTACCTCGGAGCGCCGCTCCTCCCCGGGATGCGGGTGAGGATGTTCGGGAGCGCAGCCGCTCTCCGATGCTGACACCCAGCGGCCACGCGGAGCGCTTCGCTCAGGAGCGCTGGGGAGATCCGCTGCTGCGTGGGGAAAGGACGGAAATCCTTTCGGGAGGGAAGGATGTGGAGCAGCGGGTGGATACGAGCGCTCTCCTTCCCCTGCGCCCCTTTCCCCGCTGTCTGTCCTCGAGGTTCCCGCACCTCCATTCCCTGCTTCCCCTCCCTGTGCTAAGGTGCTTCTCTTGGCTCACAGGAGGGAAGATACTGGGAGTGCTGGCGCTGTTTCTGGTGATGGTGTGGTACTCGATATACCGGGAGGACAGGTATGTGCGTCCCGGGGGGCTGCAGGGCACAGCGTGAGGGCACAGCGTGCTGCTGCTGCCAGCCCTGGCAGAGTGCAGGGGCTGGATACCCCACAGCTCCTGCTGTGTTTGCACAGCCAATGGGGGCGAGCAGCAAACACAACTTCCTGCCTTTCCCTGGGGAAGGAGTGGGCACCGCTTCTAATTTCTCCCCTTGCAGCTTTTATTTCCCCGTGCAAGAAAACAAGACCGTGTGTCCCATTGGGGAGGTGGAGAGGAAGGCAGCACAGCTCATAGGGAAGTGAGTAAGGGGAGGGGGTCCCTGGGGCACCACAGCCGGGTCCCCATCCCTCAGCCTCACCCCCCCCCTCACTCCTTGCAGCTACACGAGGGACCGCCCGCTCTTCCTGCAGCTGAAGGATTACTTCTGGGTGAGGACGCCGTCGCTCTACGAGCTGCCCTATGGCACCAAAGGCAGCGGTGAGCCACTGCCTCCCTGAGTACGGGGTGGGCGTCTGTCTGTCTGTGCATGGGTGCCTGCTTCCCTGTTTGTGGTCCCTACAAAAGTGGGGCACATTTAACAGGTCCCCAGGTGTGGACCGTGGGGGTTAAGGCCACAGGGGGGGTGGGCACTGATGTGCTGCTGGGGATGTTGTCACTTCCAAGCTGTTGCTTTGCAGAGGATGTCCTCCTGCGCCTGCTGTCGGTCACCAGTTACCCTCTGCCTGAGAGCATCCAGAGGTAATGCAGCAGGAATTACTCTTGGGGGTGTAACATTTGAGTGTGAAGTTGTGCACAGGCATCACCTGGCAGCTTGGCCACCTGGGAGTAGGAATGGCGTATGGGGAGCTTTGCAGTGTAGCGAAGGCAGGGCTGAAACCCCTCTGAGGTTGAAGAGGTGATCGTTTCTGAGCACATCTGGCTCAGGTGCTGCTTTTCCCCCACAGCCTGAAGTGCCGGAGGTGCGTGGTGGTGGGCAATGGGCACCGGCTCCGCAACAGCTCCATGGGGGACACCATCAACACCTACGACGTGGTGATCAGGTACGGCCCTGGGCGTCCCTGTGGGCCACCCACCCTTGCCCAGCGCCATCGGCGGGTTCCTGCCACGTGTCCCTCATCACCCATTGAGCAACGTCCCCGTGCCCCAGGCTGAACAACGCGCCGGTGCACGGCTATGAGCAGGATGTGGGCTCCAAGACCACCATGCGGCTCTTCTACCCCGAGTCAGCCCACTTCGACCCCCAGGCAGAGAACAACCCCGACACGCTGCTGGTGCTGGTGCCCTTCAAGCCCATGGACTTCCAGTGGATGGAAGCCATCCTCAACGACAAGAAGAGGGCAAGTGTGGTTGGGAACCGGTGACCACAGGGTCAGCCCCGTCCCTGGCGGCTGCGCCTTCACCCTGGGCGCTGTGGGGGATTCATCTCTTAGCAGGAGGTCTCCATCCTCTTCCAGGTTCGTAAAGGGTTTTGGAAGCAGCCCCCGTTGATCTGGGATGCCAACCCGGAGCAAGTGCGCATCCTCAACCCTTACTACATGGAAGTAACTGCTGCTAAACTGCTCAGCCTCCCCATGAAGCAGCCACGGAAGGTCAAACAGGTAATGGCGTGGCTTTGTAACTGCTGAGCATCTCTGTGTCAAACCTGTTGTGTATTTGTGGGATTATTAATGGGTTTCAACGCAGCAGGAGGATGCTGCTGTCCCTGCGCCCTGTGGGAGGCTTGGGTTTTGGGATTCTCCCCATGGCTTCTCCATCTTTTCCCCAGAAACCAACCACAGGGCTGTTGGCCATCACCTTGGCTCTCCACTTCTGCGACCTGGTGCACATTGCAGGCTTTGGGTACCCTGACTCAGCCAACAAGAAGCAAACCATCCACTACTACGAGCAGATCACGCTCAAGTCCATGGCTGTGAGTGTCCCCCTGCTGTGCCTGCCCCCCGCCCCGGCTCTGGTTTCACCCATTCCTGCTGTCCCACAGGCCTCGGAGCACAACATCTCACACGAGGCGGTGGCCATCAAGCGCATGCTGGAGCTGGGGCTGGTCAAGAACCTCACGTACTTCTGAGTGCAATGGGGCTGCGCAGGGACACGTCCCCACCTCGGAGCCCGCCGAGGTCCTGGAGCAGCCGGTGTCCCTGTGCCCATCACGATGCTGGTGGCACTGTGGGGGCCACGCCGGCTCGCCGGCCCCAGGGGCGCAGGGAGCCCCTCAGCGGGGACTTTTCATATGGAAACACTGAAACTAGTGAGGACTGGGGAGGGATTCTGGGGAGGATGGAGGGAACCTCCCCCCAGCAGGTCTGGGGGGCACGGCAGGGTGCATTGGAGCCCCCCTCTTCCCTTGGATACTCTTGCATTCGGGATGAGGAGCCTGAGGGGGGGCTGATGGGGGGTCCTGGGGGAGTCCCCTGTGGGTGGGAGGCTGAGTTGCAGCCCCCCTCCCAGCTGGGCACCCTAAATATTTAATTCCTCCCTTCTTCCCCCCTCCTCTTTTTAATTTTCTTTTTACACATTGGCCCAGCCTCATGCCTTAGTGCTGGTGTGGGGGGCTCAGCCCTGCAGCACCCTTGGGTGGCCCATGAGGGGGTGTGGGGGTGACACAGTGGTGCAGATTAATTTAATTAATTTAAAAGATTATTTATCATGGGGCCTCCCTCCTCTGTGGCCTCGTGCAGGGGGGGCTTCCCCCTCCCCAAAGGTGCCTTTTGTCCCACCATCGGCGCCTTGCTCACATGGGATCCTGCATCCCCCAGGATTTGGGGAAGGGGGGCCCTGGGACCCATGGACCTTGGGGTGTTGGGGGGCTCCTGCTGGCACCCAATAAAGGTCCTGGTGCGACTGGGCTGGGTGTTCCATGCTGGGGCTGGAGAGGGGATGAGGGAGTGACTGAGACCTCGCTGTGCCCTGCTGTGTGACTGTGTCCCCTTGTCCTCAAGTGTCTCTGTGCCCTGTCCCAGTGTCCTTGTTCGTGTCCCCATGCACATGTCTGTATGTCCCTGGGAGTATGCTATGTCTCCAAGTCCCCAAACCTAGTGTCCCCCCAAGTGTGTCCCTCTGCCCTCTACCCTATGACTCCAGGCACTGTCCCTATAATCACGTCACCATGTCCTCACATTCCATGTTCCTGCCTCCATGTCCCTGTGTGTGTGTGTGTGTGTGTCCCCTTGTGCTCTGTGTCCCAGCACCCCCATGTCCCCTCCCTACCTGCTGGGTCCTTACCTGCCGTTTCCCCAGCACGTTGTCCTGGCTCCTGCATCACCAGCAGCATTGCCCTGGCGGTGACCATCCCCGTGCCTCGGTTTCCCCATCCATCGGGCATCCCCTGGGCCCACCTACCCCACCTCCCCACCACCAAGCTCCTGTTGGGGTCACCTGAAAGACGCTGCCCTTGCAGTCTTCATGGTGGCGAGGCCATCAGCCCAGGCATGCCACGAGAAACACCTCTTGTATTGCCCGCGATACAGCGCGGTGAGGCCCTTCCCGGGGCACTCGGGGGGGTCCCCGTCCCTGCTGGCGTGTTCCCCCCACCCCAAACCCCACACGACGGGACCCCCCAAAACAGACGCTATAATTATGGACACCGAACACCAAGAAGGAAGGAAGGGGGCTGGGTGGGGGCAAGTGGAGCGGTGGGTGGGCGTGGGGATGGCGGTGTCCCCAAGCCCTGTGTCCTCAGCGGGGTTGTGCTCAGCCCCGTCGCCCCACTCCTGGGTCCTGATTCCAGCACTGCTGTCCCTGGGGGTCCGCAGCCCCTTGGGGACCGCGTCGTCCCCCGCGGTTCAAACGTGCGTCTGCATCCGCCTCTGCAGGGGCCGGCTGGGGTCCGAGTTTTGGGACGAAGACTGGGAATGGTGGGAGGAGGAGGCGGAGGCTTTGCTGGCCTTGTCAAACTGCACGTAGCCGTCCTGCTTGCCGCTGCTGCTGATGCTGCTGTCGCACTGCGTGTCGAGGAAGGAGCTGCTGTCGCTCATGGAGCCGCGCTGGAACTCACGCTCGCACAGCTCGATGGAGCTGCTGCCCATGCCCAGCACGAAGCGCTGGCTGTAGTCGTAGAGGCGGCTCTGCCCGCTCAGCGTGCTGTAGATGTTGGTGAAGGACATGCCTGTGGGCACGCGCTGCTTGCCGGCCGGCCGCAGGTCCGCAGGGCAGCCCGACAGTGAGATGGTGGGCGTGGAGTGGTGCTCCTTGAAGGTGTTGACGCTGTAGTAGCCGTTGGTGGGGTCCTGTGGGTGGGCGGGGGATATTGGTGGGGTCGCCCCAAATCCCTTCTGTCTCACTGGGGCACCCTGCGCTACCCAACCCGCTCCCCAGCGCCGTGGGTTCCCCAAAGGCAGTGCTGGTGGCACCCCAGCATCCCACCCAGCTTGGGGACAGGGTGGCACAGGAGGCAGCACCAGGGCAGGCAGCCTGGAGTTGATGTGGGGGGTGGCTGTGTTGCAGGGCTCACCTTTAGGTTTTGGAACTCCTTCTCCTCCTCCTTGAGCACCTCGAGCTGCTTCAGCACGGAGTCCTGCTGGAACTCACCCCGGTCCATCTGGGGAGGAGCGGGCAGAGATCAGCACCCTGAGTGCCTGCATTGGTGCCTCTGCTCTGGATCCGGGAGCTCAGCCGCAGCTGTGGCTGCAAAGCACTCTGGCGCTGTGATCCCTGTCCAGAGAAACCCCCACCTCTCTTTTTTTCCTTTATCTTTTTTTCCCCTTTTTCTGCATTCTCATCCTTCCCTCCCAGTCTGAACTTGGCTGCTCAACAGCTTTTCCAAAAAAAAAAAAAAAAAAAAAAAAAAAAAAAAAAGAAAAGTCCCAGCTGGCTTTTGGCACAGACACAGTGCCGTAATTAATGTGAAAGCCTTGATTACTTTTTTTTCAATCCCCCAACTTTGGCTCTTCTCAAAACATGTGAGTCCCGGAGGGCTCTGCTCCGTGCTGACGTGGGCTGTGCTGCACCAGAGATCCTGCACCTCTCTGCCTCATTACTTCCTCTTTTGAAGGCTGACCACCATCGGAGGCAAGGTATGCATTAATTACACGCCTTTAATTACCCTTCCTCCAGAAAGGTGGGGATGTGCAGGCTGGCTAATTACCACCAATTTCTCTGCTGCCTTTTATCTCAGCTCGCATCGATTGTGCAGCTCCGGCCACTGGATTCTGGGCACGGAGCCCCATTCTGTGCCCCAGAGGGCTTACTCTCCTGGTTTTATTTTTTTCCCTTTTTTAAAAAGGTAAGTGGTTGTGGAAATGTACCCTCCAGCACTTTCTCTTCATCTTCTGAAAGCCTTTGATGCAGCTATTAAATGCAATAAATTAAAGTACCTGAGTTTTGCTTGAAAGAAGGAATGCCCATGAGAGGCGCTGGTGGAATGGGAGCAGCCCATGCAGAGCTGCTGTGCCTGCAGCACCAAAGGCTTTCCCAGGGAGAATCTGATCCTGCCTACGTCGGGAGGTGCTGAGGACCTGGCCTGGGACAGTGGTGCGGCCCCAAAGGATGAGCCCAGTGGCACCTTGTGATAGAGTCATACAATGGGCTGGGTTGGAAAGGACCACAATGATCATCTAGTTTCAATCCCTGCTGTGCCTCAGTTTCCCCTGCTGCAAAGCTGCCCTGCTGCAGAGCAGCACTCTGGCTTTTCTGAAGCATTGAGGGGACGCCTCAAGGTTGTGCACGGCCCAGAAATAGTGCCTAATTATGAGCAGTGCTCCCTAATCCACTGCGTGCTGAGCACTCCAAATGGCACCGCTTTCATCGGGGCTGGTGGATCCTGCAGAGCAGATCTTAATTTCTTTGGGTCGGTTACAGGAGCCAACAGGGTTTCAATGGGGATTGCCCGTGGTCGGGTCCCAGAGCGGCTGTGCTGATGTGGGTGCGTGGCGCCGCACACTGCGCTGGGTGGCCTGTTTGCTTTTTGGGCTGGCAGCCTTCCCTCCACCTGTAGCACTGGGGATCGTGCTGAGATAACCTGAACAAATGCAAATCAGCCAGCATGACGAGTCTCCTAAGGTGTTAACGAACCTACAGACGCATGAATAATTATTTGTGAGAAGCACAGAGCCGTGCAGGTCACAGATGGCTGCAGAACAACCAACGCAAGTGTGATTCTTAGGGAAAAGAATGGGGAAAGAGAAAGGGGGAAAGAGAAAGGGGGAAAGAGAAAGGGGGAAAGAGAAAGGGGGAAAGAGAAAGGGGGAAAGAGAAAGGGGGAAAGAGAAAGGGGGAAAGAGAAAGCTGTCGCTTAGCGGGCATGATGGGGGTGGATTCGGTGATCTCAGAGGTCTTTTCCAGCCATAACAACTCTGTGATCCCACAGTTTGTGTTCAGCTTGTGCTTGTCACCTCCCACACCAACCCAGCAGCACCAGTGAAGGCAGCCAGGCTCACCCCACCGTCAGCCCCAGCTCATCCGTTCCCTGCTGCTTCCCCAGGCAAACCACCATCTGCACGCACTGCTTCGGCACTTACTGACATCTCCAGCGCGGCCAGGAGAGCACGGTGAGGTTCTCACACTGAGGGGAAGGAAGTCCTTACCATCAGCTGCTTGATGGTGGGGTGCTCCTCCGTCTCCCTGCCCGAGGACGGCTCCTTGTGCACGATCTCCACGCGGATGTCATTCTTGGCAGAAACCACTCCTTTCAGATCTGGGCAGAGAGGGAGAAGAGCTCAGCTCCAGGCAGCCACACATCCCCAGGGTCCACCCTGACCCAGCCCAGCAGGCAGAGCTGGGCCCAGAAGGGCTCCTCCAGCCGTGGGGTGCAGCTACAGAAAGGAAAGGCCAAGTGATGGACGGAGCGCAGGCAGCGCGAGGCCCAACGCAGCGCCGCTGTCACGCAGCTGCCCGGAAGGTGTCAGGCATGCTTTGAAGAAGTTCCTTTTGTAAAACTAGGAGAGCAGTGGGAGGAGAAACAACAGCACGGATCCGAAGTGAAAACCAGGGATGGATGTGAACCTGAGACCTGAGCAGCCCCCAGCTCAGCGCTCTGGGGCTCCGTCCTGGGCTCAGCCCATCTCCACTCAGTGTTGCTCTTGCCCACAGCCGGCTGCCCCACGCCTCAGGGTTGTGCTGAGAGGCCCCTATTGCTTTCTTGTGCCTTTGTTTTTGGCTAGGATGACACTCCTGGTGCAGGAGCCTCTGAATTTAATCACAGGGAAAAGCTAATTACTGTCTTGCACATCCTCCCCCAGGAGCGCTGCCCTTAAATAACACCGGGCCGTTATGTCACCAGCAATACAACACCAGATGTGCCGTAAAGCCTTTTTTCCCTTTCTTTTCCAGAAGACAAACGACCTCCAGCCTCCGTTCTGCTGCGTCCTCAGCAGGAGATGCCACCCCAGAGTTATGGTCGGTCGCTGCATCCCTCCCACAGGAATGCTCTGTTTGCAGGCTGTTGTTTAACTGATGCCACAGAACTCTGAAATTTGTCCTGAGAGAGGAATCTGCAGCAGCCAGGTACAAAATGAGTCCCCACCGCACAGATGCACGCTGCTGTCTCTCTACCTCTGACCTCACCGCAATGGAATTGATGCCGATACGATGCCCCAGTGGTGGAAGACAAGGGGATGGCAAAGGAGACAAACCCGCAGTGCTCCCTGCCCATCAGTGGGAGCACGGTTGGCCTTTGCGTTTGGCCGTTTGCGCTCGCCCTGCACTTACTTCGCTGGGAGCGGGCGCAGCAGAAGGCGACGATGGTGGCCATCAGCACCAGGAATGCCACGCCGGCCCCCACGGCCACCCCGATGATCACCGCCATCGGCACCGACTCTGCAAGAGGAAGGAGAGCACAGATGAGTGGGGCTGAAGGCAGTGGGCGGCTCTCCCCAGCTCAGGACCCGTCCCGGCCATCGGTTCGGTGATGGGGAGGGATTGGGGTCCTTTCCTGCACCCCTGCAGCACCGCGTCCCTATGGGTGGTGAGAGCCCAGGGAGCGCAGTGCGCAGCTCTGCCATTTGCTGCAACTGGGGCAGCGCTGACCTCTCTGTGCCTCAGTTTCCCCCGTGTGCAGGGAGGAGGGAGCCAAGGAGCTGTTGCTTCCAGTGGGGCCACGTTGTTTATTGGATGAATGGCTGCCTCTCAAGTGCTGTGGGTGCAAAGTGCAAAAGAAGACAGCCTGGTGTTATTGCTAAGAAAGAGAAATGGCATCAGAGCTGGCTGGGAGAGAGGTTGCATGGAGGGATAGAGATGGGCACCAGGAGAGAGGAGAGGAGAGGGCTGCAGGTGTCAGTTAACACAGCAGCTATCAGCCTGCCTCTGTCTTTGTCACCACAGGTCTCCTGCTTACTCTCCAGGCTCACAGCAGCTGGGAAGGATGGGGTGGCTGTGATGGGGGGAGCAGGACCCCATCCTGCACCGGGGAGAGCTCACCACTCCTGTCCATGTAACCACAGCCAAGTTCCCTGTAGCTCTAAGCACCTTTTCTAAGCCCAAAGAGAAAAACTGTTTTTGACCAAAAACTCCATCCTTCCCTTAAGACTTCAGGACCCCCAAGGTGTAACCCCATCTCAGTACCAGCAGAGTGACACAACCCTGTGCTGCTCGAGCTGGGGCTCCACTCACACTATAAAGAGCCTTTCAGCACACAGCTTCTGCTGGTGCTTTCCACTTTCTGGCTCTGCTGCCTCTCCCTAGCTGTGCCACCTGTCCCGTGAGCCAGGCCATCGGTGACATGACACACATGGCACTATTCTGCTCTTCCCTAAGCACTCAGCACAGACAAGGAAGCGAGCGCCCAGCAGCATCCAGCCGACCGGCAGTGAAGTGCTGGCACTTCTCCAGGTGACCTGATGCCAAAGGCAGTGACTCGTTGTGGGGCTTTTGGAGGCGTTCAGATCTCTGGGAGATATGGACCAGAGGGGTGGGGAGGGAGATGTCGAGGGGCAGCTCAGCGTGGCCGTCCCTTTGCTGCAGGTTGTGCATTATCACCCCCTGCAGTGGGGCTGCGCTGGGGCACAGAGAGGCAGGGCAGCTCGCCATGGAGCGGAGTGGGACCGGCGCCCCTGGCTCCCCATCCCCTGCCCTGTGCTGCCCTACAGCCCCGCTGGCTCCTCAGGCGTCGTGACGGCTGGGGACAATTCGCATTCACCGTCAGCTCAGCACTTCCGTACCTGCTTGCATACCAGCTCCTGATTTCATTTCCGTACCTGTTTGAAAATAAAGCAAGTGTCCACAGCCGTGCACAGCCCAGGCACCCACATCAGCCTTCGGAGCACCTCCTGCTCCCAGCGCACAGCCCGATGGAGGGGATGGCCACCGCACAGCGTCCCCCTGCCCGCCGCAGGGATGTCCCTGAGTGGGGACCCCCAGCCAACACCGAGTGCTCCCGCTGGCTGGCAGCCGACCCGGAGAAACCGCTGGCTGTGTTTGCGTTGGAAGAAACCCAAGGCTAATTTTAAGGGGTTCATTTAGCTCTGATTTAATCTGGACGGCAGCCTTGCCTATAAATCACGGCTTAATGAGAGCAATCCACCTGCCTGCCCTGGCATTTAATAAAATAGAAGAGGACTGGAGGCCCTCCAGGAGCTGAGTGAGCCGCCTAGAGCCACATCCCTCCCTTGCCATGGAGAGCCCCCAGCCACCCTGAGACACCCTGAGGGCTGTGGGTCTGGAAGGAGCAGCTGCTCCCATTTCCCCGTGGCTGCAAATGATGCTGCAGGTGGATGGGCATCACCTTGCACTGTGGGTTGGGGAGCACAAGGCTGGTGCGTGCCCTCTGTCTCCAGTAAGAGAGGCGAAGTGGGGCTTTCCCCACCTCCTGCCCCTCTGCTGGGAGTTGGGACCCTCGGGGCGTTCCTCCTCCATCCTTCCTCATTCATCCCAACAGCATCACGGAGCACTGGCCGCTCCCGCAGCCCCACGCCGGCCGTGCCCACCTTGCTCCTTGAGCCGGATGATCTCCGTGTCGGAGCCGAAGCTGTTCCACGCAGTGCAGTTGTAAATGGTTTGGAAATCAGCGCGGACGATGTTGCTGATGGTCAGTGTGGAGATGACCCCCTCGTCCGTGCTGACCGTCTCCACCGTGTAGCGCCCCGAGGTCCCAGATTCCAGGACATTCTCCTTCCAGGACCAAGCCTGCCAAGCAACACTGGGGTCAGCCCAAGGCGGGCGCTTTGCCCACCCGTGGGGCTCCCCATGGCGTGGCCAAACCCCATGGCTCACTGCACTGGGTGCTACTCACAATGCGGTCGGGCGGAGGGGTGCTGCGGATGAAGCACTTGATCTGCCCCTTCTGGCCGTGCAGGGCGTGCTGGGTCTGCGTGCTGGAGATGATGGGTGGCCCTGCAGGAGAGAGGAGAGGGATTGGTGACAACAGGAGGAAGCAAGTCACACCTGGCCGAGGCTGGCATTGCCACCTGGGTGCAGAGGGTCCAATGGCAAACAGGGACCTCGACTCCAATAAACATCACTATTGAGTGGCACCAGCTGCTGCCTTCTCCGTGCCTTGAAGCTCAGAAAGGAATGCCTGGTGCATAATTCAGGAGATGCAACCCAAGGGCCCCAGACCCTTCCCACATGGGAAATTCAGCCTTCAGAAACCAAGGATCAGAAAAGGGAAATATCAACCAGCATCCAGACTGCACTCTGCAATCAAAAAAACCCACCTGCTTTAGTAATAATTTCTTTAATACTCTACAAGCAGATGTGCTTTGGTGCTCCGGGGTGTTTGTGTGCAATGTTGAATGCTGAGAACACAGGGATGCGGGGTGCTCATCACCACCAAAACGTCCCTGTCCTCCTTCGTGGAAGAAGTTAAGAGGGAAGCAGTCAGAGATGGGAACGTGGCCTGGAGGCTTTCACCCCAAGGGAGCAGCGGCAGAACTGCAATCCTAATTGCTCTTTATTAGACTCTTAATTACAGCAGATTTACATTTCTATGAGTGGCTTGCTGCTGGCAGAAAAGGGATGCAGGCAGGAAGGCGAGGGGCAGCGCTCCTGGTTCTCACCATGTCACAGCCCAGTCGTTCTGGATGCTGGCTCCAGGTTGTGCCTTTGCTCTTTAGGAATTCATTAGGCTCATTGGAAAACCAGCCTTGCCATCACACCTACCTGCAGGCAGGCGTTAGAGCAGTGCTGGCCAAGTGCAAACGCTGCAGGGCTGAACTTTCTCCTTCGGTGCATCCAGTTGCCTGCCGACATTTCCCTTCTGCACCAAGGTTTCACCTTCCCTGAACAACCTCTGCAGCAACGCAGCCACATCCTTCCTTTGCAGGGATGCTATGAGGAAAACCGGAGGCCAGCAATGCCACACTGCTTCTGTCCAAGGCGAAGGGGCAAAATGCTGCCCATCAAATCCAGGTGCTGCACCCTTAGGCTCTGGTTGCTGCAGCGGGGACGGAGCTGGCTTCAAACACAGCCTGGACATTCACTGCATCCTGCACATCTGGAATCACCTGCACATCTGTAAGCACCGCAGATGGGCAGTGCTTGCTGAGTGATGGGGAACAGCAGAAGGTCAGGACTTGCTTTCCAAAGTTGGGGTGTAATGGCCATTACACATCACACATTCCGGTGTGATACTGGAAACTTTTCTGCCTCTTTTAATATATAAAAAAGACATTTTGTTGTTGCTTTCCGCCCAGTCTTCTCTGAGATGTTCTCAGCACGTTCCCAAGGTGAATGCTCTCCTCCAGCCACCCCTGGAAGCACACGCTCTGAAGGGGCTGGGCTGAATCCCACTGGACATCCTGAGCTGGATGGGGCCATAAGAATCACTGAGCCCAACTCCGGGCTCCACACAGAACCACCCAAAAGTCCAGAGAGTTTGGTTTACCCTTTGCTGTGCCAGGATCCCTTGAGGCTTTGGCTGTTCCAGGGGACAATACAGAGTCCAGTCCAGCTCCGCCATACACTGAGGGTGGCACAGGAGAGATGGTCCCACCTCCTCAGCTCACTCAGCATCTATAGATGAGCCACTGGTGGGCAACGAATCCAAAGCCAACAGCATCCAGAGTGGCAACGGGGTGTGCAGGTCCAAATCAATGAAAAAAAACCCGTCTTCTCTCTATTTCAACGGTTGCACATCAGTTACAAATTCTGGAGGTGTGCCAAGACTGGGTGACACCGGAGAAAAATGGCTTAATAATCATAAAAAGGATCATTTTCCCCAAGGAGAGTGGATTTTAAATGGCACAAATGCCAGCGGCTTTGGGTTTTATTATTGCTCGAGGAGTTCAGAGTCGAAGGCTTATCATCATGATAATAGCAAATGACTAAAGAACATTTGTGAGATGAACATGCCTGGGAATAATAGTGCAGAGCTGCAGCCTCATCGCGTTCGAGGATGGTGTTTGATTCTCCACCAGGCTCAGGCTCCCTATGAGAGCTGCCGGTCCACAGCTCGGTATTGAGACAGCCCACCAGCAAAAGAAAGGCTTTCAACAACGTTGCTATGGATATAAACGTTGCAGCTATTGGTTGTGGTTATTTTTAGTGCACTGGTGCCAATTTAGTTGCTCTGTCCTGAAGGCTCGTATAAAGGAGAAGGCAGCTTGCTGGCTGGGGAGCACGGCAGGATGGCCCCAACCTCTCCATCCTGCTCAGATTGATGCACACAAAACCGTCCTGGTGCTGGAAACCGGAAGCAGGGTTCGATCCTGCAAAGCCCTGGGTTGGCTCGTGTGTGGCCAGGAGGGTGCTGTGCACACATGGGGGCTATAAATCCAGCTA